TGCCTTCAAACCAGCTCTCAAATACACCCGCTTCTCTCCTTGCCGCTGCCACCACCCTTGTCCAGGGGGGCCTTTTATCTCCGAGATGATTGTTGACACCTCCAGACCTGCCCTCATCTTCTGTCCACTTCTATTGGCTCCCACGACAGCTGCCATACGTCTCCTGAAACCAAAATCTGACCATGTGACAACCCTGCTTCCCTTTATGATCAAGCCCAAACTGACTAATATGCCCTGTGTCCCCAGACTCGCTGTTGAACCTCTTCCCTGCAAATCCCCCACCCACATTGCCTCTATCACCCCATTCTCCAGGCACCCTGGAACCTCATGGGTGCTGCTTCCTCTGGCTTCAAAGACTCTTCCTGCTTCACTCCAACTCATTCACCTAGGACCCCACTTTAGAAACACCTCCTCCAGGAAGCCTTCCCTGATCCACCACACTGGATTAGGAGGAAGCCCCCAGACCCAAAGACAGTAGGGACGCTCCAACTGGGGACTCTGGAGAGGGCTAGCTGCCGCAAAGTGTTACCCTTTCCCAGGGAGCCTTCGGACCAGGGTATAGGGACAGCAGGTCCAGCAGGAACACCGAGCCAGGACCCCTGCCACTCCCAGAGAGTTCAGCCCCAGAGCCCGAGAGGAACTCTGCACAGGGAGGCAGGCGCGGGCACAGCCCTTCTAGAGACAGGGCAGTCCCCAGGTGGCAAGCGGGCGGTCCGTACACACAAGGAGCAGGTACCCAGAGGGAAGGACGTTCGCTAGCAAAAGCATAAACCGCCCCTCAGAGCCCTGGAACCACCTGATTTCCCGGGACCCTCGGGCTCCCAGAGCCCCTTCCCAGGCCAAGGGGACAGCGCTCCCACCCCCAACTGACACATACAAAGGTAGGAGGAGAGATGGCCCGAGACACCCAGACAGCCAAGCTCGCGGAGACAGCAACGGAGAGAGGCGGGACACCCTGCCGCCTGGAGCTGGGCACCTAAGGCCGCGGGGCGCCCGCGGAGCAGCCCCCGGTCTTCACCCCAGCGTCTCTGTGGCGGTGGGGCCTAGGGTGGCGCTCTGGTTGGAAGGTGGGAGGGGACGCTCGGGAGAGTCTTCAAGCTGCATTTGCGCGTCCAGGACCCTTTGTAGATAGGAGATAATGCGTGTGACGCACGGAGGGTGGGAGTGGGGCTTTAGGGACTGCTAGAGGTTCTTGGCTAAAGGGCCACCTGGGCGGATTTCACACGACCTGCGCCGCCCCCCATCCAGGGGTCCCCCCTACAGCCCAGCCTGGGGAAGGGCGGACGTCAGAGGCTGCGGCCAGCGGCTGTGTGTGGCAGATCCTTTGTGTTTTGTCACTATCACCCCCCTCCCCCGCGTCCCTGGGGCGGGATTTCGCAAGCTGGTGATTCGCGGCGGCACGCAGGTGCGCGCAGAGCGGAGACCGCCGGCGGACAGGCGACCGCGGGGGACCGGAGCTACGGGGCTCACGCGCTGCCTGCCCGCCGGCGTGTTTTAAGTGTTATTGATTCGCCCGCGTCTGGGTGGCTTTTTTTCCCCTGCTTTAATCTTCATCTTGGCCCGCGCCCCGCCGCCCCGCCGCCTCGCGCGCGTCCAGCATCCAGGAAGCCGGTCGGGCAGATTGGCTTTGGCCGCGTGCAGCTTTATCTCCTTTTTAATTAGAAATGGGTGGAGGGCCCCCGGGAGGGGGAGAGAGAAAGAGAAAACAGCAGAAAATAACCTCCCCTGGCTGCCCTGCCCGCCCGACCTCCTGCATGCTCTGTAGCCTCATCGGCCCTGCAGGGCCCAGCGCCCAAGAGGGAGGGAGGGACGGAGGCCAGCCAGGCGGCGCTGGCCTTTAGTCCTGTGGCTGCCCTGGGGGCAGGGAGAGAGCCAGGTGGGGAGGTGGAACTTGCAGGGTGACTTTGGGCCCAGCCCTGCTGCTGCTCCCTGGGGCTCTGGTGCTTCACTTTTAAAATGAGGGGTACGGTCCCAAAGTGCCTAAGAGATCCTCCAGTTCCCCCGATGTGACAGCTTCCAACCGCTTCTGGTCGATGGCCGACATCTGTGGTGTTCTTATTTCACTTGGGTAATAGTGACTCCCGCACTGGCCCCTTAGCAGTCAGATCCAATAACAGTAATAATTACAACCACACAGGCATTGGGTACTCACTGTGTGTCTTGCTCCTTCTAAGCACTTTCCATGTTTTAACATGTTTAATTTTCACAGTAACCCTATGAGGTGGGGACTAGTTATCCACACCCTCGCTTTAGCGATGGAAAAACTGAAGTGCAGAGAGGGGATGGAATACACAAGGTCACACAGCTAGTGAGCAAAGGGAGCTCAGATGGCACAGGCCAAACATGCAAACAAACCCTCTACTGTGTGTGAGAATCTGTGTTTGTGGCTGAGATGAATGTGCCAGAGGCAGGCTCTCCCGCCCCCGCACCTGCTAGCTGGAGCAGGCGTCCAGGTCTCATCCTCGGTGAGCCTCAGTTTCCAGATGTGTGAAGTGGACGTGGTGATTCCTGCCCAACCCAGCTGTGTAGAGAGGTCACATGTGTTCATGTTTGTGGCAGCACCACCATACTGCCTCGGCACATAGTAGGGATGCCGCAAAAGTTCAGGGATGCACTTATGCCTGTTTGGGGCACCTGCTATGTAATAGGGACTCACCCTGAGTGACATATTTGAGGTTTCATGATCCACTCATTCAGTGGATTCCATTGAGTGAACCAGCAGACAGCCTCCTTGCCCTCAAAGAGCTTGTAGTCTCATGAGGAGGACGAGATAAGCATGGAGCTCGCAGATTAATAACAAACACATGCATTGAAACATTTCAGAAGACCATGAATAATCATGAGTACCAAGTAAACAAAACAGAGAGTGTGTTGGAAAGTTACAAGGTGTGGGGTGGGGAGGGAGTTTCCCTAAGTTGGGATGGTTCCAGGAGGTGACCCTCGAGGTCCTGTGAACGATGGCAGGAAGCCAGGATCAGGGGTGACAGAGATTCCCGCATGTGGCAAGAGCAAAGGGAGACAGGGAGCCATGGTCAGTGATGTGCCTGGAGTGGAATGGGTCCCCTTCATCTCCAGAGTCACTTGTTCAGAGGCACCTTCCAGTAACAGATCCCAACTCCAGAACAACTTCCCACGGCTGCATCCCAAGATGAGGCCTGCGCCCAGTGGCTGGCAGCAGCCCCAGTAAATGGAAGCTCTTATTATTATAGCCAAAGTGAGGCATTAGGGGATAGGTCTTCTCTTTAAAAGTTCTCTTAGGCCGGCCCGTGGCTCACTCGGTAGAGTGCGGTGCTGATAACACCAAGGCCATGGGTTCGGATCCTATATAGGGATGGCCGGTTTGCTCACTGGCTGAGTGTGGTGCTGACAACACCAAGCCAAGGGTTGAGATCCCCTTACCGGCCATCTTTATAAAAAAAAAAAAAAAAAAAAAAAAAATAGTTTTCTTGATGACATTTAAAGGATTAAACAAAAAGGAAGCTACAGACAAGTGGGGTCTCTGTTGTGTAAAGGGAGGGCTACCTGCATGCTCGGGGTTCCAGCTGGATGCTGTTTGGGGTTGTCTCCATACTAGAAATGGCATCACTCTCCAGCCAGATACCCAGGAGTCATGGTGACACCTCTCTTGCCCTGAGCCCTTTCGCACTTCCATGAGCCCTACCCCATCCATCAGTCCCTCAGCAAGTTTGGTCAGCTCTGCCTGCAGCCACCAGGCCCAGCCGCCACCCCTTCTCACCTGCCTGGTCCCCCTGCTCCCGCTCTGGCACTCCCAGTCCTTTCCTACATGGAGCAGGGGACATCAGGTCCATCAATGTCCTGCTTACAGCCATTCAGCGCTTCCTGAGCTTCTTGATACGCTGAGAAATTCCAGCCCTGAGCCATCACCTCCCCCCAGATTCCCCCCTTGTCCAGCCCGGGTTTTGCACCAGTTTCCAGGGGTTTTTTCTGTTCCTTGGCGACCCCAAGCGTGTTGCCCTTCCAGGTCTGTGTGTTCTGTTCCCTCTGTCCAGAAGACTTTTCCCCAGATCTTCCCAGGGCTGGCTCCTGGCCATTCAGGTCTCCACTCCAATGCCACCTCCTCAGGGAAGTCCTCCCTGATCGCCCCAGCTAACGTGACCCTTCCTCCTCCTCTCCCACTACCCTGCCCCCAGTTGCCATCACAGTGTCTTCCTTTACTTCCTTCAGAGTGTGCATCATGGTCTGAAATGGCCTTTTAGTCATTGTGACACATGTGTTGTCTCCCTCCATAGCTCCTTGAGGGTGCATCCTTGCCTGTTGGGGGGAACAGCTGTCTCCCAGCATGGCACCTGGCACATGACAGGTGTCCCCTGTGTATCTGTGCAGGGAAGGAGTTGAGGAAAGTCGTCATGAGCATCCTCCAGGCTGGTCATGTCTAGAGTGGGGTGCAGGTCCTGCACTGACAGGCAGGAAGAAAGTACTAGACCTTGTATTTACAATTACTTCTGAAAGGTTTTTTGTAATGAAACGTGTGCACCTAAGAGAGCATATATAACACATGTGAGCAGAGGTCTGTCATGACTGTCCATGCAGCCCTACTCCACCAGAGGCAGCTGCCGCCTAGAACTTTGAAGTCTTCACTCCCTTGCTGCCTTCATGGTTTCACCAGGGACGATTCCTAACAGTACGGTCTCTTCTGCGTGGTTTTGAACTTTGCCTCAATGGAATCCTGCCATCAACTCAAAGGCCATTTGCTTTTTTGGTCAACATTACATTTGTGACACACATCATCTTTTTTATTGTTTCTAGAAAGGAAATCAAGCTTCACTCTTGATGAATATACACACTGCTACAAGTACCTATGTGGAAATTATAAATTTATAAGTGAATATTCATGGGATGGGGGTACAGGAGCAAAGAGGTCAGGAGACCCTGCTGGGGGCAGTGGGTGGCCACGGCTGACACCTAGGGAGGGTCTCTAGGCCATGCCCCACTTTGCCTGCCTGACGCTCCATCTCTCTGTGTCCCCCCTCCAGTGGCTTCTCCTCGGTGGTAGCTCTGGGCGCGAGCATCATCTGTAACAAGATCCCAGGCCTGGCTCCCAGACAGCGGGCGATCTGCCAGAGCCGGCCCGACGCCATCATCGTCATAGGAGAAGGCTCGCAAATGGGCCTGGACGAGTGTCAGTTTCAGTTCCGCAATGGCCGCTGGAACTGTTCAGCGCTGGGGGAGCGCACCGTCTTCGGGAAGGAGCTCAAAGTGGGTATGTGCTCCCCCAAACACCACAAACAGCGACTTACGGGCTATGAGGAGCACTCTGGGACCCCCTCCCCTGCCCCATGCTAGAATGTCCCTCCGTATGGGGTTCTGCAAGTGCTGTGACTTGAGTGCAAGTGTCCTGATGAGGGGCAGGGCTCTGGTCTGAATCTGTACCACCCCAACCATTTATCGGCACAGTTGCAAACCAGCAACCAGTGGCCCAAATGCTAACCTGCTGATAGAGCACCGATGTTGTGTTTTAAATTGAAGCCCACTTTTAAAAATTAGCTCTTTCACCTCAAAGTGTGGATTTCTGGCTTCTTTTGAAAAACTGGCAGATCTACCAACAGCTTACACATGTGCCCACATGGTTGTAATGGGCTGGAGCTGAGAACACAGCTTCCTTTGGACAGAGCGTGGGCAGCCCACTCACCGCCACAGTCCCCACACTCCCTACTGAGGCCCAGCCTCAGCAGTCTTCTTACACGATCCCTGTAGGCTTTTCCTTTGCAACCCCTGTTTTATGGGAATGGCATGTGCACATGCACAGACACATGCATTCACATAGGATGTTAAGCCACACGTCTGACTTCTGAAGCAATTGTGAGAGCAGCCTGGTGGAAAGGGGATGGAGCGAGAGATGCTGGTCTCCAGGAGGCCCTGGTGGGTGCGGGAAGGCCATGACGGGTGTCTCCTCCCTGTGTGCATCTGGACTGGGGCAGTGACACCTCAGGCTCATTTCTGCACCTGTGAAATTCCCTGAAGGTCAGGTCAGCCTTGGGTCTCTTTGGGTTGGGTGGTTTACTTGTCCTGCTCAACTGCTCCAAGGGTACCCTTGAGTTCTCTCTTCCTTAGCCCCAACGTCAGCACAGCCGGTGGGATGTTGCAAAGACCCACCCCAAATCCAGCCACTTCTCTGCATCCTCACTGCCTCCCCTGAGGTGACACTGCTGTCACTCTGGGCTCCTGAACTGCCCCCTGTTCCCCCCACCCATCTCCCTGCTGCACCTGACAGGCAGGACCATCCTTTAAAATGGAAATCAAGTCTTGTCATTACCCTGCTTAAAACCCTTTGCAGGCTTCCCAGGATCAGAATGAAATCCCAGCGCTCATCTGGCACTGCTGGCCTCTGCCCCTCCCCTTGCTTACTTGGCCTCGTCCTGTTTCCCAAACGCACCACCACACCGGGTATTGCTTCGGGGCCTGAGCACCTCACGTGCCTTCTGACCAGGGAACTGCAAGGCCAGGGGATGGGGCTGGCTTTCAGAATGCCTGGACCAGAGGTAGCGCTGGCTTCCAGCATCTCCATGGCCGCCTCTTGGGGCAGCAAAGTGGCGTTGCAGCTCCAACACCACAACTTCCAGGTTCAAGTCCAGCCTGAAAGAGCCTTGGCCTTTCTGTAGCAGCACCTGCAAAAGTCCTAAGGTTCACTCTGATTGGACCAGCTAATGAGGCTTGACTTTGGGCCTTGTGTTCATCCCAAACTAATCGCAGTGGCCAGGGGCAACAGTGCTTTTGTTGACTAGGCCTGGAGCCACACCCAGCCCGTCTCTCAGGGGAGAGGGATGGCTCATGAGGGGACCAGCCTGCTAGGGCTGCCATAACAAGGTACCACAGGCTAGGGCCTTAAACAACAGACATTTATTCCTCACAGTTCCAGAGGCTGGGAGTCTGAGATCAGGGTGTTGTCAGGGTTGGTTTCTCCTGAGGCTCCTCTCCTTGGCTTGCACATGGCTGTGTTCTCACTGTGTCCTCACGTGGTCTTTCCTTTGTGCATGTGCCCTGGTGACTCTTGTGTCCTGGTCTCCTCTCTTATAAGGATAGCAGTTATATGGGATTACAGCCCACCCTGATGGTCTCATTTTAACTTAATTACCTCCTTAAAGATCCTATCTCCAAATAGAGTCACATTCTGCACTACTGGGGTTAGGGCTTCAACGTACGAATTTGAGGAGACACAGCTCAGTTCAAGCCACAAGCACCAGGGAGTTCGTGGTCCCTGCTTTAGGGAAAGACTTATAGGATGTGGTGGGTGCTGAGAGGTGAGACTCCCCAGAAGGGTGGATTGGTCTGGGCAGTGGAGATGGCCCTTGATTTGGGTCTCGAAGGGTGGAAAGCAGGTCACCAGACAGTGACTGGAATCCCAGGCAGAGGGAACAGCAGGGCAAAGACTCGGATGTGTGAGCAGGGGCCTGCAGCCTCAGGAGATGAGGGTGGGGAGGCCTCAGGTACGATGGCAGCCAGCTGTCAAGAGTCTTGAATCCAGGACTGTTTGAGTGTGGGGTGGCCCCACATCAGTTCCATCAACCGCCGCCCAGGTCCAGTGTGATCTCAGGGCCTAAGAAGGCCTGCACTTCCCTGTAGGCTTTTCTTTTTCTTAAATAATACAGTGAACCCGCCTGGAATCCACCACCTGACACAGCAACCAGAACATGAACAGGCGATTGTCATCTGCTCTGTTAGCCTCCCTCCGGCCTCTCCTACTCTCCCTCCAAAGCCAAGCTTTCTCTGTCCCGAATCTTGGGTGTCCCACGCCATTGCTTGTTTATGTTGAATTTATTACCAGGATATATTCCCCCAAAGTAAATTATTTCATTTCAGTTGTATTTGATTGTAATGGTGCCAAGTCCCACCCCGCCACCGATCAGTGCTGTCCACACCTGTCCAACACTTGGTGGTGTCCACACTTCTACGTTTTTGCCCAGTGAACAGGTGTAAAATGCAATATCACCATTGCCTTGCTCTGCATTTCCCTGAGAAGTGACAGGGTTGGAATCTCTTCCTGTACTTCCTGGCTGCACATTTTCACTCTTCTCTGAGTTGCCTCCTCATGCGTTTTGCCCATTCTTTAGTCAGGTTGAGAGTCTTCCCGTCAGGTGTGGCTGCTGGGGCTGTGCTGGAACATTGGCAACAAGGGCTGCACCAGGCAGCACCACGGGGAGGGGGTCCTGTGGGCCTCACTCTCTCCTGTCACTCACCTTTTCACTGAGGACCACTGTGGGCCAGCAGCGGGAACGGCCCTTCCTTGTACGACATCACACTGGGTCCCCATTGCCCCCAGAAGGAGGGACATCCACCTCCATCTGAGTGTTAGAGACAGGCTCGCAGTGAGGCAGAGCCTGACCAAAGTCATGCAGCTGTTTGTGGCTGTGCTGAGATGCGTGGTGAGTTCCCTGTTTCTGGAAGGATTCCTCTGTTTGTGTGAGCCTGCCAGATCTGAGATTCCCAGGGCTGCTGAGTACTGAGAGCCTCCAGTCTTGTTGCTGGGCGGTGGGCAGCAAACAAGCCCTGGGAATGGGAGTCACACGGCCGGGTTTGCATCCCAGCCCCACCCTACTCTGCTGATAACGCTGGGTGAGACCTTTGCCTCTCTGACCTCAGTCTGCCTATCTGCAGAATGGGGACGCCACACAGCCCTCCTTGCCAGGTGGCAGCGACATCATGTGATACAGGATGGAAGACCCTGGCACCTGGTGGGTTTGAGCCATCAGAGGATGTCCCTTTCCTCCTGCCAGGAGGCCTGTGTGTTTATTCATAAGAAGCGGACCTCAAGGAATTGGGGGTGCAAGCTCTGGATTTTATTCTTGGTGCAGTAGAAGATCTTAGTCCGGTTACTAATCTAAACTCACCATTTTGACTCTGCCTCAATATTCCCAAATGTGTCCACTTCTCACCACCTCCTCCTGGTTCAGACTTCCATCTTCAGAGGGTTATGGCCCCAACAACCACATCAACCTCCTAATGTACCCGTCTCTTCTCTCTTGGACCCCAGTCCATGCAGCTGTCTAGCATCCTATCTTCCCAGGGTCACCCTGAGCATGGCATCCCCCTGCGTACAACCCGATGGTGGTTTCCTGTTGCTCTGAGAATAACATGCAGACTCGTCCCCTGCTCTTTTATGGATCACCACCAAGGTCATCCCCACCACAGGGCCTCTGTCCTTGCTGTTCCCTTTGCCTGGATGCTCTTCCCAGATATTGTCTGGACTCGCTCCCTCCATCCTTCCATTCTTGGCTCACCTGTCACCCCTCAGAGAAGGCTTCACCCCCTCTCTATGTAGACCGCCATTCCTATCTACCTCCAGCTGGCCATATTTTTCTTAAGGCTACTTTGCTATTCCAGAACGTACTCTCTATGATTCACTCATTTGTGCAGCACTGTGTAATGACTTAGCTCTGAAGCTACCTGCTTCTCCATTTACTTGATCCCATGGGAATGGTCCCAGTACCTGTCTCAAGGAGAATGAGATGACTCTTTCCACGTAGAGCACTCAGGACCATGCCTGGCACACAGGAAGGCTCCATAAGTCCTGCTTGTGTTGTGATTATTGTCTGTCTCTCTGGCCAGAGGAAGCTCCATGACGGAGCAAAGGCCTCTGACACTGGGCCTAGCACATGCAAGGCACAGCCACTATGGGTGGGCCTAGTGAATTAGGGATGCCCCAAATACAAGACTGAACTTTCATCTTACATTTTCATTCAGATTTGTTTTAGCCCAGCATTCCCACTCATCCAAATCTCTTTGAATATTGCTTTGACCAACTCTTCTGTTAGCTCTCCCTTCCACCTTTGCGTGGCTTCAAATGCATGAAAATCTTGTTGAGGTCAAGGCTTAGGAAAGACCCCTATGGCATGACTCCAGAGGAGTGGGGCCCAGGATCTGTTCAGCAGAACACTCATCCCACCCTCCACCCCACCCCCACTACCAGCTGCCCTGGGGAGAAAAGAGGGTTCCACGGACAATCAACATGGGGACGCAGCGTTTTATAGTCCTTGCTTCTAGAGAGTCAGAGTGCCCCTCAGCATATTAAAGACCCTGAAAAGTCCTGCAGCCAAGAAAGCAGCTTGAGCAGGCTTAGACTGGAGGGGCCACTCTTTTCCAACCTTGAACTCACTGACTGTCCTGTGGAGCTGACCTTCAGAGGCACTCACACCAGGAAACAGCACTCTGGAGACCCTTGCAGGCTGACCATACTCAGAATGTGGTTTTTGTACCAACCTGGGA